GCGCCCCGGAGGTTGGATGCGAGAAAGACCCGTTCTTAAGCTGCTCTGGTGCCCCTGGTCTGCTGGAGACCGTCTCCAGCAGACCAGGGGCACCGGGTGGTTCCCGCACTTCTGAGGCTTTGCCCTGGCAAAGCCTCAGAAGCGCGGGAACCCGCCCGGTGCCCCTAGTCTGCTGGAGACGGTCTCCAGCAGACCAGGGGCACCGGAGCAGCTTACGAACGGGGCTTTCTCACCCCGACCTCCGGGGCGAGAAAGCCCCGTTCGTAAGTGCGGATCCGACGTAAGTCGGATACGCGTAAGTCGGGGACTGCCTGTTATGTTTTCAGACATCTGTGTGCAAAAATTCACCCACCTATTTGCATACAATCAACAAGCAAGTACTGAGATGTGCATACATACATATAGGGTTTGCATGCACACACTGAAGTGTATGCAGAGCCCCGCATTTGCACATTTGAGTACTTAGCCCCATAAGCTGGGCATATATATGTCTGAAAATATGTCCCAATATCTTCCTTTGTAAGATATTGTAACTGTAATATAACAATTTTTACTATTGTAGCGTGAATTAAAAGGACATCCTTTATTTCATATGAGATATGTAAGTTAACACACAGTAGAGAGGTAAACCATAGGTATCATTCACAAGGCAAAAGTGGAGCAATTCCAACTACAACCTTCCAATTCAAAGTTTAAATTGGCATTCTGTCCGACAGTTGAGCAACATTTATGTGCTGCAGCCTGTAGGGTTAGCAGTATTGTTAGAATACCTGAATATTTTCCGCTCACTATCTGTCATATGCAGTGCTAATGCTTCCCAGTCTTGTTCCTTCAGTTCAAAGGAATTAGCACTCATCTTAAAGTACAATGGGGTAGAAATTAATCAGCAGAATTATAGGTAGATAATCAGCAGAAAATAAATAGGTTAGGACAGAGGACTTGTTCTATAACATAGGAGTGTACAGATACACAGTTTACACAGGCATCATTTAACTATTTAAGAACTATATCCAGCAAGGTGGAACCCTCCAGAGCATGATTACAGTGAGGAGAGAGGGGCTCGATAAACCATTCTTTTAAGGTTTCCGGTCATATATGGAAAGTGTTTAGAGAGAGCTAGATCAGTGTAAAAAACAGATGGCTGTCAATGCATTTGTCTAAGATGGGGGCTCTCTAACTGGGGTCATGACTCCTTTTAAGGGGTCACAAGGTTATTATATAGTGGTTGTAAGCATGTGCATAAAACACTGAAAAACTGCTAATATATAAAATTTAAATTTCAAAAAGTATTGTAAATGTATAAAGCAGCAATCCTTGTTCCTAAAAGAAATATATATTTGTATCACCACCACTTTAAGGAAATTGAACTCTGGTGATTGTAGTTTTGTGCACACAGGTCGGTTGCCTTGAGACTGAAAAGGTGGGACTGAGACAACATTAGAACACTTGATTATTCAGGGTTCATTAAACCACAGACAAATCAGAACACTGAGACTGCACCCCCAAAAAAGCAATATAAAAAAGCAATGTATAATTTAACAGTTTGACACAAGGTGGGGCAGTGCTAGGCCACTTCACAATTTGCCTTATAAAATAAAGAATGCAACAACTGCTTTGACCATCCTCACCAAACATTATGTGTTGGTCTTAAAGTATACCCTTTCTGAGCATCCTACTCCAAAGCCATGACTAACTTTCTGAAATGGGTTCAAAGTTATCATCAAAAGCAGATGATCCACTTAAAATGAACCTCATAAAATGTAGCTTTTAAAAGGAATCTGTATGGTCAATATAAAATTTGTGGATTTGGCAAGCTTACCCACCATTATAGTCAACAGGACTATCATTGCCTTCATTTTTTATTTCAGTTTTTCTATTTAAAAGTATATATCTGCAATTGTGCAGCTACATAATTAGTTTTGCACTTAAAAGAAAATTGTGCCCATTTTGCTGAAACCAGCCATACATGTTTGTTGATTGACAATCACCTCTCATCATAAATAAACTGATATGTATTTGAATAATCTCCAGGCAAGGCAAACCAATGCAGGAAATTCAACAAGATGTAACTCACAAAATTCCTGACTTATTTTCAATAGGGAGGGTCTTATAGAGGGGATATGGCCCTGCAATGATGCAAGTTCACAGAGACTGGCAAGGAAATCATGTGCATCTCCAGGCCTCATGTGGAGCATCAGGCCTATGTACTATTCCCCATTCCCTCAAAATGAATCCTGGCAATACAGCTCCCTCACATTACTGTTATATGTGTTGCAGCAGTATGCAGGAGCTCCGGTCATGTATCAGAACCTACTGTGCTAGTGTCATGTCAGGTACTTTCTCTATATAGCAGAGCCATATCAATATTCACACATGATGCTCCCCTAACCACTGTCACATTGGCTCTCTCAAAACAACGTTAGAAAAGGTTTAAAAAATAATGTCACATTGGCTCCCCTCACCTTCCTCTGAAAGATTTAAAGCATTGCATACAAGGGACTCCAAAATTGTCTTTAAATTAGATTTTGTTGAAAGTGAAGGTCTGTATTTAGAAATGTTGCTGTCTAAAGTTAGGGATCTAAATCCATATTTAATACCTAAATAAAATACTTGAATTTAAGCAATACCAAGAACCTAGAGCTCACACTTTTAAGTCAATAGGACCGGAAGATGTTTAGTATAACTGAAATCAGTTTAGTATAAATCAGGATGTTTAATATAACTGAAATTTAGTTTAGTATAACTGAAATCTGACTTTTTTAGGTACTTAAATTTGAATATAGGGTTCTAGCTTTGTGCATCCAAACTTCAAAATTTTGGCCTAGATATTCTTCAAATGTGATTGGCTAGGAAGTGCACAACAACGTAAAGTCACTTCACCATACAAAGATCTTCATACAAAGATTTGCAGAAAAAGATGTACTGAGAATCCAGGCCAGACTTTTCTTTTTCAATGAACTGACACCCAGGAAGAGGCCTTTGACTTCAAAAAGGATTTTATTTCACCCTGTTTTAATCTAGTGCAATAAATCAGGAAATGTCTAATAATAGCCAGAACAGAGAAAAATATGCTTGAAAGGAATACTAATCAAATTAGACATCAAAGTTTATGAAAAATAAATGCTCAATTTATGAAGTTAATCCATTACTTTCTAATTTGTTTATAACATTTGCAAAGGTTATGTATCTCACAATTGTAAATCACTTAAATTATTTTTCCCCTTGAATTGTTAGCTTTGATACCTCAGCTGATTCCAACTATCAGAACAGAGTACATATAGAGAAGTAGACCAGATGCTAGAAATCAAACAATAAAAGGTAAATACACCAAATCAGTACCTGTCAACACTAGTTATCTGAATATAGATGCATAAAAAAGAAAACATTATCACCCCTAGTGATTTGGCCTACACAGTGAAGAAAGGTGCCAGAATAGGACTTTGGTCCATCTCATGGACGCACCATCAAGACAGAAGAACAATCAGCCAATACTTTCTCAGTCCTTTCAGACAGTAAGTCACATAGCCATTCACATACTCTTCTGAAACACTCCCAGGGTATGTCTACACTACCACCTTAGTTCGAACTAGGGTAGTTAATGTAGTCAATCGAAGTTGCAAATGAAGCCTGGGATTTAAATATCCACAAGGAGTAACGGTAGTTCGAATTAGAAAGCCTAATTCGAACTACCTACTCCCTCACATATCCGGTTCCTATTTTAACCTGTCTTGAAATGTGAATATGGACCAAAAGCACTGCAGTCATGTCTGTTCACAATCTGCTCATGGCATCTGTTTTATACTATTGACCATGATATTTGATTGAAACAGACTGATCTAGAGACTGGGGGGTATGTCTACACTACCACCCTAGTTCGAACTAGGGTGGTAGTGTAGACATACCCCCCAGTCTCTAGATCAGTCTGTTTCAATCAAATATCATGGTCAATAGTATAAAACAGATGCCATGAGCAGATTGTGAACAGACATGACTGCAGTGCTTTTGGTCCATATTCACATTTCAAGACAGGTTAAAATAGGAACCGGATATGTGAGGATTCCAAGTATTACAGAACTACTTTGTCATAGTCTTCTCACTAACCTTTCCCAAAACAGAAAGGATAGAGAGAGGGCAATTAATGACAAGTTATCAACATCAGTAAGGGTACATCTACACAGCAGAATTATTTCGGTGTTCTGGGGCCAGGGAGGCTGGAGCCATGCGCCCTCCTCTCTCCCCAGTGATCCAAGAGCTGAGAAGGCTCTGGCTACGTGGCCTCCTCCCTTTCCAGTGCTCCAGAGGCTGGGGAGGCTCTGGCCCCGTGCCCTACTCCTTCTCTGGTGTTCTGAGGGCCAGGAAGGCTCTGGCTGTGTGGCCTCCTCCCTCTCCAGTGCTCCAGGGCCAAGGAATCTGGGATGTGTGCGCTCATCTCCTCCCCATGGTATCTGTGGGGATGCGTGCATACTTAGCGTGCTATCCCATTTCCTCCTCTCCCATGGTGGGGGCAAGGCCTTAGAAAGGGGGGGGGCTGTAGGCAGGGGTGTAGGTAGGACTCAGGACGTGCCTCTCCCAGCCTTAGCTGCATCAACTGCCCATAGACAAACATATAGTTGAGAGAAAACCAGGCCTTCTAAGAAAGTGTCCGATAACCTTTATAATAGACAGTGCTACAGCCCTGAGTATTGTATGCATTGCTTTTTCCTTATATTAAAAATAGTATGATTTTACCAATATATCATTACTAATTAAGGTTACTTGAGTCACTAGTTATGCTGGAAGTGAAAACCATACACACATAATACTATGTATGAATTAAATGCAAACATTCAAGAAATAATTCTCAATTAACTTATGTAAAACCAATGTTTTAATGATCCTTCCAGACCCTGATACTCTAAAGCAGGGGTCTCACACTCCATGGCCACAGCAATTGTGCAATCCAGAGATTGCTGGTAGGCTGGGGGGGCTCTCCATTACTGGACCGTAAGCATTCTTCCCACCATTGCCCTCTCTCCTTCATTACACCCCTTTCCCAAAAGGGAATGCGGCTTTGGGGATAACCGAGGTGTGACCTGCCACCATGTGGTGGCAGAGCTCATGCCCCACCCTGCACTCCCCACAGTGGCAGGAGCCTCAGGGGAAGCACAGCATGTTGGATGGGTGCACTCACTCAGCTGCACACTGCTTCCCCCAGGGCTCTTGCTACTGCAGGATGTCTGGGGGCAGGGTGATGGGTGTGCAAAGGCTGTCACTGTGCAGCACCAGGCCCTCCCCTGTGATCCTCAAAGCCGCATCCCTTGAGAGACAGGGTGTGATGGGGGGGGGCAGACAATGGTGGGAAGAGATGGGGCTTGGATATCAGTAACAGACAGGCCTCTAGGGCCTGCTGGGAGTCCCAGGATGACCTGTGCAATCACTCCACCCAGACTGTTCCATGGGCCAGGAGTCTGAGACTTTTAAAGCCACAGAGAACAAATATAATTTATCGCTAAAGAGTACATCACTATTTACCATTGAAAGATTACTAACATTGTAAAGTGATCTGAAGGGTGTCTTGGCAATACAGCTCCAATTCCTGTTTTGGGTAACCCAGGCTCCCTGCAAAAGAAAAGATGATTTTCAGAAATTAGCATACTCATAAGTAGTTTAGTTTTTCAAACATATTTTATGCAAAGTGGTAGAAGCAAAGTCTGAAGTGTCAACATTTAAAAGAGAACTCTCTCAGAGCTATGAAAAACATTTGCCTACATCATTAAACCAGCAAATAACAGGTTTTCCCTGCTTCACTGGGGAAAAAAAATCTAGCTTTGCACTAGGGATGTAAATATTAGTCAAAACAGTTAACTGGTGAAACAATTAAAATGATATAGTTTAACCAGTTAACCGCTGATGAGCCTGCATAGAGAAGCTGGGGCTGGGGTCTCACCAGGGCTGCAATCCAACTGGATCTGTAGAGCAGGTGTGGCATGGGCTGCTCCAAGTCAGTTTATCCATCTGTGGATGGGGTCGGGGCCACTCTGCTGAGGCTGTGGCCAGATTGCACCAGCCTGCCCAGGACGTTCCAATGTGGCTATGGCCACGGTTCCACCTGTGCAACTGGGATCCTGCCTACCTGCCAGAGCTAATATAACATGGCCAGCATCCTGCCTGTCCACTGGGGCTGCTCCAGCTGGGGTCCCACCTGCCTGCCGGAGCTGCTCCAAAGTACTGGGACCCACCTGCCCATTGGGGCCATGCTGGCTGGGGTCCCATCTGCCTGCTGGGGCTGCTTTAGTGTGGCCGGGGTCCCATCTGCCCATCAGGAACAGTTTGCCATGGCCAGTAATCAGCTCTCTCCAGTGCATCCATGGCCCTGCCTGCCCAGGACACCAGGTCTGGCACAACTGTTGCCAGGGCCACACATGCCTGTCACATGACCTCATCCCAACACAGGCAGGGTCCCACCAGTCCAATGCAGCCAGAGCTGCTCTGACCTGGTGCGACTAGTTGTCCACCAAGGTTTTATATTACACATGCACACAAAGAAAGAGAGAGATTACCATACAAATTATAGTTTGCACATATATTTATCACTGCCATCTATGGGCTAGAATGTACAGAGCCATCTCAAGTATTTATTAGATTGTAAGGGTACTACTTTGGTAGCTGGAGTGGACACATGATAGTTGGGGCCCAATTCTGAAACCGAATCTCAAAAGAGAGGAGCTACAGCATGGAGATGTTTCAATTCAAAAATTCATAAATCTTTAATTCTGGAGTGGATTCCCTAAAGTTTGGTGGGAAGATGCCATATGTTCCTTCAGGTTCTATCCCACTCTCCTCTTATCCAGATTGCCAAACCCACAAAGGATCTTCTGCATCAGCAGTTCTCAAACTGTGGGGTCAGGATCACAAAGTGGGTTGCAACTCTGAGCCCTACTTCCTGGAGTTAAAACCCCACCAGCTGACACTAAATCCCAAGAGTTTTAATTCTGGATGATGGTCCTCAGGTTAAAGACCCACTGCCAGGGGCTGAAGCCCTAGGGCTTCAGCTTTGGTGTCCCCCCCCCCCCCCCCCCACACACACACACTCAGGCTTTGACTTTGGTCACCTAACCTGAAACAGCAGGACTCGGGTGAGTTCAGGCTTCAGTCTTCATGGGGTTGTACAGCAATTTTTGTTGTCAGAAGGGGGTCACAGTGCAATGAAGTTTGAGAGCCCCTGCTTGACATGATCCTAGGACAGGGGTCTGTGATACTGGCGTGGGTAAGGGAAAACTTGGACATGGAGAGTTCCCTTGGAATGTGGATGTGGGGAATAGGGTAGAGAGGATCTTATTTTATCTTTCTTTGTAGTGCAATTCCTATTTGAATGGTCTCACACAAAATTTTATAGTGTACACAATATTAATTTTACCTGTCAAGAACACCATCTTCAAAATTATCTTCGTTCAGCATGGATTTACGAATCTCTATTTCTCTATATTCTTTATTTGTATACGGTTGAGACAAATGATCCTGGTATGTGGTGATCCATGCCTGAAAAACAGCATAAAAAGATACTGGAAAAGAAAAAAAATCCGTTTTCATTATATAGACTATTTTCAAACTGAGACACCATACAATTGTTTGTTGCTTATTAATTAATTATTATGATGGATGCTATATATCATAGCCCTATTTTGCTTTGCACTGCATAAGTTTAGCCCTGGCTAGGAGGTCTAAAAATAGGGGTTTATACATAGGCAATAGCTAGGTTTGACCTCCTAGCCTGGTCTCTTGCTGTAGGAAAAGTGCTATCTCTGTAACTTGTAAATGGTAAAAAATGCTCATGGTGTAAAAACTCTCATACATATGACATGAAATATAATTTAAATCTGCTCAGACAAAGTCACAGAGATTACAGTAATGCTGGGAAAGGGCTGGAATAATTTTATTATTGAAATGTATCATTTGTATAAGTATTCAAGAATATTCAAGACTAATCTCAACTTATTTTATTTCACAGAACTAACTTTTTAGTATGTTTGTTAACATTCTGCATCCTTTGTGTAAATAGAGAAGAGAGTACAAGCTGGTCACATTTGCTCATGATTTTATCAAAATGGTCAAAATTTTATTCAACAAGACCTATTTCAACAAGGTACAAATAGATAATCAGTCTATGTTATAGCCATTAACTTTTTTCATTCTAATTTTTTCTCAGAATAGCATTGTTATTATTTTACATACATTAAGAAAACCTTTTTTTTTTACATTTGCCAAATGAGATTTAACTCAAATCAGCTACATGAATAAGTGACTTTATAACACAAAGGCTGTGTCTAGACTGGCAAGTTTTTCTGCAAAATCATCTGCTTCTGCAGAAAAACTTGCCAGCTGTCTACGCTGGCCGCTTGAATTTCCGCAAGAACACTGACGATCTCATGTAAGATCATCAGTGTTCTTGCGGAAATACTATGCTGCTCCCGTTCGGGAAAAAGCCCTCTTGCACAAATCATTTGCCAAGAGGGCCAGTGTAGACGTCACAGTACTGTTTTGCGCAAAAAAGCCCAGATGGCTAAAATGGCAATCGGGGCTTTTTTGCGCAAAAGCGCATCTAGATTGGCATGGACGCTTTTCCGCAAAAAGTGCTTTTGCGGAAAAGCGTCCGTGCCAATCTAGATGCTCGTTTCCGAAAATGCTTTTAACGGAAAACTTTTCCGTTAAAAGCATTTCCGGAAAATCATGCCAGTGTAGACGTAGCCAAAAAGTAAAATACAACACCATGTTATTCAAAAACGTGCAGAAACTGTCTAAAATCTTATCTTAATCAGCTCTCAGTAGTACAATAAAAATAGAGAGAAAGCAAAGTTACTCACCTTGATGTAGTAACTGTTGTTCTTCGAGATGTGTGTCCCCATGGGTGCTCCACTGTAGGTGCTGGGCTTGCCCCAGTGCTGCAGATCGGAGACTATTCCCTAGCAGCATGCGCGGCAACAGTCGCGCTCTTTTGAACGGTCGCGCGGTCCAGCTCCCGCCAGTTCCTCGAACCCGCCTCAGAAGACTTAACAAGAAAGAAAGAAGCGGGGAGGAGGGCGGGTAGTGGAGCACCCATGGGACACACATCTCGAAGAATGACAGTTACTGCACCAAGGTGAGTAACTTCGCTTTCTTCTTCAAGTGATGTGCCCATGGGTGCTCCACTGTAGGTGACTAAGTAGCAGAACCCAGATCTATAAAAAAGGCAGGACTCGGAGTCCCTATTTGTTTGCTGTTGAGAGTACTCAGGATGCCACTGAGGTGTCTGAGAGCCATCGCTGCTGATCGCGTAATGTTTTACAAACGTGTCATGCGATGACCAGATGGCTGCTCTGCAAATGTCTTTGAAGGAAACACCTCTAAGGAAGGCCGTTGATGCTACCATCGCTCTAGCGGAGTGGGCCTTAGGTTGCATTGGAAGAGGTACACATCGCGCGGCATAACACTCAGCTATACATGAAGTTATAATTTTTGAGATGCACTGAGATGATATTGGCTGCCCTTTAGATCACTCAGCGAGAGAAACAATCAGTCGGTCAGTTTTTTGGAATGATTTAGTCTGTTCTATATAAAAAGCAAGTGTCCTGCAGACATCGATGGTGTGGAGAGATGTTTCACGTAGTGAGGCGTGTGGTTTTGGGTAGGATGATGGTAGAATAACTGGTTCATTGACATGAAATTCCGAATACACCTTGGGGATGAATACTGGGTGAAGCCTTAAAATTACTCCATCCTTATTGAAAATGGCATATTGTGGTATTGCCATGAGCACCAATAATTCATTGACCCAGCGTGTTGATGTGATGGCGAGGAGGAAGACTACCTTCATAATCATTATTTGCAGGGGTATAGTAGCCAACAGTTCAAATGGTGGTGTGGTTAGAGCCCCAAGTACTATATCTAAGTTCCATGCTGGAGGAATGGGTTTGTGAGGAGGACTTAAGTCCCTTCATGAACCTCTTGGTGGTTGGATGGGTGAACAGGGAGGTGCCTTCAGTGGATTATCTGAAGGCAGATATTGCCATGAGGTGCACTTTGAGAGAAGCTAAAGCCAATCCCGTGCGTTTTAGGTTCAGCATGTAGTCAAGGATGACGTGAAGAGGAGCTAAATGCGGGAGCAGATATTGTGTGTAACACCACAAAGCAAACCTATGCCATTTTGAGAGGTAAGTGGTTCTGGTCATTTGTCTTCTGCTGTAGATTAGTATCTCTCTGACCTGTGTAGAGCAGAGGGCTTCGGATGCATTGAGCTGAATAGAAGCCATGCAGTAAGCTATAGGGTGTGTAGCTAGGGGTGTCTCAGTGACCCCTGGTTCTGGGTGAGGAGGTCCAGGAGAGCTGGAAGCGGGTAAGGTCTGCACGGCAGCATGCGTCGAAGGAAGGGGAACCAGTGTTGACGTGCCCATGCTGGTGCTATTGGTATGACGGTGGCCTTGTCCACCTTGACTTTTTGCAGTACCTTGAGAATGAGAACTGTGGGTGGGAAGGCATACAGGAGAGGCCCGTTCCAGTCGAAGAGGAACGCGTTGCCCAGAGACCCGCAAACAAGTCCTGCTCTGGAGCAATATTTGCGGCATTTTTTGTTGTGACAGGTGGCAAAAAGATCTATGAGGGGAGTGCCCCAATGTTGGAAGAGGAGGTGACTCCATCGTGGAGCTTCCATTTGTGCTCTGGCGCAAAGTGCCTGCTCAGGAAATCTGCCGCAATGTTCGTGATGAAGGTAAGTAGGATGCCACAGATGTGTTGCCGTGCTGAATGCACCAGTTCCAAAGACAGATTGCTTCCGCACATAGGGAGTGAGAGCGTGCCCCGTCTTGGCCGCTGATGTAATACATTGCTGTGACGTTGTGAGAATTTTTATAGTTGTATTGAGAATGTGAGTGTGGAAATACCTGCAGGCATTGAAGACTGCCCGGAGTTCCAAATGATTTATGTGGAATCGTGTCTCATGAGGTAACCATTGGCTCTGGAAAATGGCAAATGGCAACCATTTGCACTCCCTACCCAAGGAGGGACACATCGGTGGTGATATAAAGGGAAGGCTGTTGCTGGCAAAAGGGCACACCGTGGAGGAGATTTCTGTGGTCCATCCATCAGTTGAGGGAGCGTAGGACCGATTGTGGAGGTGTTACTAACTTGTATACATAGTGCTTCATGTGATTGTATACCGACGCTAACCAGTGTTGTAGGCTGTGAAAGTGCAGTCTGGCGTGACGGACCACATAGGTAGTGGCAGCCATGTGGCCCATGAGCTGTAAACAAGTGCCTATCTGGACAGTGGGCTGCCTTGAACAACCTCTATCAAATTTTGGATAGATTGAAATCTCTGGAGGGATAAATATGCCCTCACCTGCCAGTTGCTCTCAACCGCCTCAGGCTGCATACGGAGTGAACTGGTCTCCTCAACTTTTCTTCCTTCTCCATCCATGAGAGTGTTTTGTCTTAATTATAGTTTCTATTCGTGTTATAGTTCTTTCCCTCATATTCCCTAGTTCTCATTTTTAAAAAAATCCCTTTCTCCTCAGTTTAATATCCATAGTTTATAATTATAGATATAGATATAGTTGAATCCCTCTTTCTACTTCCCAGTTTAAAAAACAATTAGAATGCCTGCCTCACCCTGATTTAAAAAACGCGACACATGCCGTGAGGCCAAGCCCACTTCTGACAGCCATTTGGCTTTATCTGGTGCCTCGGTGAGGCTCATGTTGCACAGAAATGTCCACACTGCACAAAGCTAACCGCGAGGGCTCGCCGGGACAGAGAAATGAAGCTGCGGATTATTCTTTTTGACAAGGCTCTCCAGCCAGCAGGGTTGGAGCCTTCGGTCTCCCCAGACCAGCTACCAAAGCGCAGAGCCTTGTCCCCTACATCCGCTCTGCCCAAAAGACCCAAGGCATCTTCAACTAAGTCTCTACCTGCTACTTTGCAGAGTAGAGTGAGTATCGGGAACAAACCAGGCACCTCAGGCACTGCCATGCCATGTTTTAGGACCCTCGCAGCACCTAAGATAAAGAGGTCGGTGACTATGTCACCAACGAAATCTACATCGGCACCGATAGTGACCAAACCCTCGGCGCCAACGGATCCAACAGTGCCGTGATTGTCATCGGCACTGGTGGCACCGACATCATCTATGGCAGGTATCTCGGCATCGAGTTCAGCTCTACCGGTGCTGATAGTACCAGCTGCGCACATGGATGGTACCGAAACAAGAAAGTCCACATCTAGGACACCCCGGCACCAAAATCCTACTCCTCATTCACCATCACTCGCTTTCTCGCTGGCACCATCGCCTTCTCCACTGGCACTGACGTCGCCAAGATCTCATGGTGCGGACTGTCCGAGTCAGAACTACAACAATGGCTGCCCGCTTGTTTTATAGCCTGTAATACCTCTAAGGCTGGTATAGGGGGCTCTGTCTGTGAGGTGGAGTGTTTTCCATATAAGGGCATGTAAATTAATAATCTTCCCCTGCTCGCTCCACCCATTGCAGTGAAAGATCAGCCAATGGGCTGACTTGTGCTCCGGCCTGCTACTCCACCCACTGCAGCAAAAACCAACCTATGGGGTGATAAGTCCACAGGCAATAAAACAGGCAGGCAGCCCCTCTCTCACTGGGGATTCGCATTGAGTGAACGCCTGGCCTGATCACCCAGACGCCTTGCACCCCCCGCTCTCGAGTCTTACTGAGCGTACTCCGAGTTGGTCGACCCGAGTGGAGACAGTTTATGAGCATACGACCGGTACTTGTGTTCCTGCTGTCTCCAGAACTGGTATAACTCCCCCCTCCCCCCCGCCATCATCCCTATCCTAATTGATTTTTTAGTTGTCCTTATTGCTTGTCAAGTGACAGTGGCTAAAAAGTTACTAAGTTAGTTTATAAATAGTTGTGGTTTAGGTTTTTTACTGTTTCCTTGTATAAAGTTGTGTAAATAATCAGCCCTATGGACAATACCAGTGTTAATTCAACTGTTCCCAACCCTTGGGCAGTTATTGGGAATTATTGTGATTTAGAAAAGCCTCAGGGAATTGTTTTGTGTTGTCTGGCAATCTGTTTAATTTTTGTTCTGATGATTGTCTGGCGTCATCAAAATAAAATCAGTTTGTGCTTTTTAAAACCCCCAGTTGTGGTCTCATCCTTTCCGGCATCCCTTCGAACCTCGTGTATTATGGGGACTGACACAGACGAACGCAGATCTCCTCACTCTCCACACCAGAGGCTGCCCTCCCCATTTCTAGCAGCGTAAAGAGATCATGCCCATTACTCGCACTGTCTTTTCTCTGTGTCTATAGCACCTTCCTCCAGGATCTTCGATGCCCGTTCCTGTTCACCACGCTCACCGTGGATGGCACCATTGGCATAATTTCAGGCATGCTTACCTTGACAGACAATCACCACTTGACAGAGTCTATTTGGATGAGCTGTGCCATGGCTTGGAACCTGGATTCCAGCAGGACTGCTCTTGCCTGCACCGAGTTCAGAACCACCCCTATTAATTCTATTCTATGGGTAGGTATGACTCTTGACTTGTCTAAGTTGAAGAAGAGTCCCAATCTGTTGAAGGTCATTCTAACTAGTCTCACGTGAGACTTCACTTGCTCCCTGGAGCACCCCCACAGCAGCCAATCACTGAGGTACGGATACACTTGCATCTGTCTAGCCCCTGCAGAGAAAGGGTACTACCACCACCATGTACTTGGTACATCTGGGAGGTGGGAGAGGGCAGCTGTGGCTAGGTCAAATGAGAGCACAATAAATTGATCGACTCTGAATCTTAGGAATCGCCTGTAAGCCAGACAAATGGTAATGTGGAAATAGGCATCTTTCATTTTGAGGGCAGTGTACCAATTAGGGATGTAAGCGAATAGTCGACTAACCAATAAGCCAAGGTTTATCGGTAGCCGAGTTGACAACTTACATTTCCCAGGCCCCTTGCTGCCTCTGTGTCAGAGGCAGCAAGGGGGGGGAGCAGGAGCCAGTACTGGAGAGAGTCAGCTTAAAAGCCGGTTCGCCCCAGCACCATCTCCAAGATGCCAAATGCAAGATTGGATAGCTTTCTATTAGATCTTTTGAATAAGAAAATTCCCTCAGTTAAGGAACTAAATCTTGTTTCAGTGACAAGAAAACATAGGTGCTGTCATAAACATAACCCTAACATGACTGACTTTGGGGAAAAAATACTAAAAACATCCGAGAGAAAACAAGGGAGGTAGCCTTTAGAGAAGGAAAAGAAAAGTTAACTTAATGGCATGGAATTTAAATATTATCTTATTAGATTTGTCCAATAGGTTGTGCTGAAGGCAAACACAACACATGACTCTAAAACCAAAATAAGGTGAAAGCCCTAATGATAAATAAATAAACAATATTGAATAATTTGAGTTAAAATATATTTACCTCGTCCAAAGTTCCAAACCTCGAGTAAGTAGATTGACATAAATTCTTTGAACCCAAAGGAACTTCATTTATATCATAATCTTTAGGTTCAGCCTCTCTGTTTTGATGCCTTTAAAAAAAGTTTATATTTGTGAGATGACAAATGCAAACATAATGTCCTTTTTCGAAATCTAAATTAAAATTTCTCTGGATATTGTGAAACTCTCCACATTTATGCTTATGATAGGCCTGGCACTACTATACCACCCATTCTTTTATGCCACTATAATTATCATATATTGTTGCACCTAGAGGTGAAAAGTGAGATTTCTAGAGAAAATAATAAAGAACCAAATATAATTAAAGGATTTTTTAAAAAATCTATAGCAGGAAGAAATCAGGAAAGCAACAAACCTGTTGGATAAGCTACAGCTAACCTATCACTTTCCCCTTTTTCCCCTTTGAAAACCTTAATAGAATCACAGAACTGGAAGGGACCTCGAGAGGTCATCGAGTCTAGTCCCCTGCCGTCATGGCAGGACCCAGTACCATCTACCATCACTACCTTTTAAGAATTAAAAAAAAGCATTGAAAAAGGATATTGTAATTTTAGATCAAGGTATTTTTGATAAAACAATTAACATTTAAATCAGAAAGATTTTATTTAGTGAAATAAATGTTATGCAAACCACACAAATAATACTGCATTACATATTAATCTAGAAATAAATTGAAACTATTTACACCAAGTAAGGAACTTAAGCTGCCTGCTAGTGAAAAGCATTCATTAGCTAAGGCAATACCAATGTCAGACAGACAAGGGCTACGTCTAGACTGGCATGATTTTCCGCAAATGCTTTTAACGGAAAATCTTCCAGAAAAGCTTATGCAAATGAAGCACAGAGTGGAATATCGCCGCGCTTCATTTGCCTACTTAATTAGCAGCTGTTTTAGCGCAAGAGGCTTTTGTGCAAAAAGGAGCAGTGTAGACGGCTCCTTTTTGCACAAAAACCTCTCAAGCACAAGAGCCGTTCTTCCTGAAAAAATGAATTCCATCCTAGACTACTTGCCAGCTGTCTACACTGGCTGCTTGAATTTGCGCAAGAACACTGACAATCTTACATTAGATTGTCAGTGTTCTTGCGCAAATTCAAGCAGCCAGTGTAGACAGCTGGCAAGTAGTCTAGGATGGAATTCATTTTTTCAGGAAGAACGGCTCTTGTGCTTGAGAGGTTTTTGTGCAAAAAGGAGCCGTCTACACTGCTCCTTTTTGCACAAAAGCCTCTTGCGCTAAAACAGCTGCTAATTAAGTAGGCAAATGAAGCGCGGCGATATTCCACTCTGTGCTTCATTTGCATAAGCTTTTCTGGAAGAAGGCTACAGTGTAGACCTAGCCCTGGGGGAGGGAGGTGGAGTGTCAGAGGCAGGCTCTGGCTGGGAGGTGCTTACCTAAGTGTCTCCCAGCCAACAGCCCTGCAACACCCCCAAGGCAGGCTGGGCTTCCTGCCTGCTACAGCCCCAGATCACTTTAAACTGATGGCTGCTCCCTCCACGTGGCTCTCAAGCTCCCGGAGGTGGAAGAGGCTTATGCTGCCCCCCATACACCAGGACAATCTCTTAGCTCCTATTGGTTGGTTGTTTCCGGCCAATAGGAGCTGAGGATTGGTCTGGGTGTGGAGAGAGATTACACAAAGCCTTCCCCTCCCTCCAGAGCAAAGAGCCACAAGGACTGTACTTTATACCACGGCAGCTGTGTGTCCGAGGGTCTGGGCAGGGTGGTTGGCAGGCTGGATCCGGTGGCTGGGGGGCTCAGATCTGGCCCCGGTCATATTTTGTCCAGCCCTGTTTTAGACACACAGGAAAGGATTATGCAGTGACACTAACGAGAAATCTTTTGGATACATAAAATCAATAGAACTGCTAAGGAATAATTGTAGAATACAAAAAGGCAACTTTGAACAGCAGGAAAGTGCAAGAAAACCCTAAAAAAACCCTCCTTCTTCTCCCCTTAATTGGTGTGGGTAAAATCCTGAGCCTATTGAAAACTCAATGGGAGTTTTGCCGCTGATTTAAACAAGATCAGGATTTCATCATGTGCATATGTGAGAGACTGAGAGAATTTAGTTTACGTAAAGGAGATTTAGATCTGGATGTCATCTGCATTTTGATGGCATTTTAAAATGTGCTCTCACGGTAGCTCTATAACCAGCTTTATGTTGAACTGAGGCCTGTGGAATATAGGGCTTTAAGAGAGGAGGACCAGTAATCACAAACCATTCTCTGAGTCCATCCATGCCTCCATAGAACAGCAATACTCATTACAGGGATTTTATTTCTAAAAGCAAATTAATGTGCTGTGCACTAATTTCTCTGTACAGATGCCTCTAGTGAGCACTAAACATCCTCTATTACATTTAAATAGAGTGCTATTTGAAACAGTACTAAGTTAAAGTGAACCCAGAAACTATTAGTGCACACCAGCAAGGTCTATATGGACCAATTAGTTTGCAAACATGTTAATATGTTTTAGAAATCACACTCCCATAATGCATCATTGCTGCTCCATGTAGACAAACCTTGTGTTTTTGCAGGGCACCTTATGATGGAATCCTGAACCTGATTGGGGCCTGCAGATACTGCCATAACATTAAAACCAATTATACAAATTGGGGCAAGATTCTGTTTTGGACGGTGATTAATTTTGTTTACTGCTTTATAATAATCTAATAATCTCTCTAAATGCAATAGATATTTAAAGACACTAGGAAAGTATTCCTGTCCCACAAATGTTTGTTTAATTTAAAAAAATTATCACTCCCTACATTCTTATGGGAGTAGGGAATTCTATTTCAATGTTTGTCTCCCTTTTAATGGCTGTGGACTCACTGGTTGCTTTTAAGCTTTGATACTAAAAGGACTCTTTTACTACAGTAGATTATTTCTTTTCAAAGAGGCAAGACAGATGGTCCACATATGCCTCTCACAAGCTGTTCAGTGGAAGTCTAAGCAGGAGGTTAAATTGTCATTTTAACTTTTTTCTGGCATTAAAAAAGACTAATGTCAATGTTCAAGGGTCTGAATTTAACAAAACAAAAATAAAATAAACAACTTTCCCCTTTATTGCTAAATATTGCATAGTGTTTACAGAACTGTGTAAAGGTCATTTTAAGTTCTTCAGTAAAGGGGCTTTACTTTTAAAATATCTAACACAATGATGGCTCGCTATAAATACATAAAAATAAAAATCTGCATTTGCAAAATATGCAAGCCTAAGCACAATGGATAGAGAGAAGGGCAAAGCAAAATCTAAAATCCTCCCTTTTGTTGCTTTAGGTCTGACCATTGGTAATATTTTTTTAATGTTTACAGTTTTGATCCAACTCCCACTGGAGTCAGTGGAAACAATCTCACATTTGTACTACAGTACGAGGATCTGGTCCTATGTTATTTTGTTTTAATTCAAGGATTCCCGAGCATTTCTTAGTGTTATTCTTTTTAAATTATAACATCTAAAACAGTGGCTTTCAATCTGTAGTCCACAGACTACTGTGGGTCCACAGACTATGCCTAAGGCCGTGTTCACCAACCAGTAGATCGCGATCTACCTGTAGATCTCGGAGGCTCTAAGAGTAGCTCTTGAGCCCTCTCTGAACTGCGCACCTGTGCAGTACATTTACATTATACTTCCTCATTTGAGGTGCAGCTACTCACCGAGCAACAGCACAGGTGAGTAGCTGCGAGGAATGGTGGGAATTGTTTTTTAAAGTAGCAGTATAAGGATTGGGGATAGCAAGTGATGGAGAGGAGGAGAATAGAGGGGGCGGGGCTTCAAGGAAGGGGCGGGGCAGTAGATCTTGGCTTGGTCTGTCATTTAAAAAGTGATCTTGGGTATAAAAAGGTTGGAGTCCACTGGCCTAAGGGGTATATGAAAGCTTGTCGTTCTCATTACCATAAAATACTGGCTTTCAATCTGTGGTCAGGAGATGTGAGCAGGCAGGAGCAGATGAGAGTTTTGCGGGGCCCAGGCCAGCACAATTTTGCCCCTCTTTGAAGAAAAAATAGAAAAAAGGCGTCAAATGTGCAAATTGAAGGCTATTTTCATACTAAATGTGAACTGGGTAAATTTGATAGAAACTTAATTTAGTTGGATAATTTTTATTTTAATTATATTGTAAGTCATTCTTAAACAAAATTCTGTATTAATAATTAAAAATTTTCATTTGTATTTAAGTCTCCTCCCCCTCCTGCCTCACTCTCTCTCTTTCTCTTCTCCTTAGTCCTCCCCCTCCTGCCTCTCACTTGCGGAGCCCAAACGGCCATTTGCGCCGCTTGCTCCCGTACGGTGGACCGGCTGAGCGGCACAGAACTCAGCCGAGCACCATGGTGGTAGGTGAAGGGAGGCGGGGTGGTGACGTACATGGCCAGGGGGCAGGACCTGGAGCCTCTGTCCCGGCACTTCGCCTCCCGCCACGGCGCTCTGCTGAGTTCTGCACCGCTCAGCCGGGCCACCGTGCAGGAGCAAGTGGTTCAAGCGGCTGTTTGGGCCCCACGCGGTGGCTCGGCACGGGGCCTATTGCAGCGCGGGGCCTGCGGAAGCCGCCCCACTCGCCCGCCCACTTGCCCTGCCCACAGACCTTGTCTAAAATTTCCAAAAGAGGTCTGAACTTCTGTTTGAAATGTTTTTAATTAAAAAAGGTTGAAAAACACTGATCTAAAACAGTGTTTCTCAAAGTGATCTGCAAAATCACTTTGAGAAACATGATAACTAGCTGCTCCAGTTTGTTTACTTACCAGTGCCACAGCCACGGAGCCTCAAGGCTCCCATTGGCTCCAGTTCACCATTTGCAGCCAAGCGGAGCTGTGGGAAGCAGCAAACTAGGGATGTTAAATTTAGTTTAATCAGCTTGCCAATTAGTTGATAAGCGGGGGAGCCTTTTAAATGTATTAAGAGTTGGCTCTTAATACATTTAAAAACATTTAATACTTATTAATACATTTAAAAACCAGAGGCACAGTGTCTGGGACTGGACGCGAGCCGGAATTAGCTGATTTCTGGCTCGTGCCTGGTCCCCGCTACTCCCCTGTGTCCCCCAGAGATGGTGCTGAGGGGAATTGGCTTTTAAGCTGGCTCTCCCCAGCACTGGTTCCTGCTCTCCTGCCTTGCTGCCTCTAATAGAGATAGTAAGGGGGGGAAGCAAATAGTCAAGGGTCTTTTGTGGAAAAACTTGCCAGTCTAGACGCAGCCACAGTGTTGACAGTACTACTTGCTAGCCAATAAGCTACCCAAGTTCAAAATACTGTATCAATTACCATACTATTTAAATAGTTACTACCCTCTGCCCAATCCAGCACACATGCCAATGTTCATATACAAGAAGGTAGCACATGTTTATTTCCTAGTCCATCACGGTGTCTCATTTCAGATAGGCATTACAGACCTCCTTCTAGCAACACCAAGAATTGTAATTCTATAAGTTTAAAAATGAGTATTCCTGTGGCACCTCAGAGACTAACAAATATGTATATCATGAGATTTCATGGGCAAAACCCACTTCTTCAGATAAGCCACAGGACTACTCGTTTTTGTTAAAGTTACAGACTATCACGGTTACCCCACTGAGATTTCTATATGTTTAAACGTGCATACATACCCGTTACAAGATACATTTACAGGGAGACTGTTGTATCTTTAAGGTTCCTTTATGCCAGTATAACTGCCTCCACCCTCAAGGTCTTTACAGTGGCAACTATTTGAGCCAAAACACACCCCTAACCCAAGTGCCCTACAACATCTGGGGGCAGACCAGGCCAAAAGCTCCTCACAAAGCGCATCATAATCTAAAAAGCCCGAGTAGTGACTTTTTGCAAGGGGGTCCTACCAGTATAGATTATTGTGCAACATGACACGCCTCCCTGGGAGGTGTGCAGTACACAAGAGAGGAGCGGATGTCTCTCCCCCCCCCCCCCCCCCTGCCCGCGTCTAAGGGGGCGACAGTGGGGGCCCCTTACCAGCGGTACACGAGGGTGGGTCTCCCATAGTGCAAGCCACGCGAGCGCAGCGTTAAGGTCCCCTTGCGCTCCAGCACGTCGGGTGGGCCCATGTCCATTCTCAGGTGTCCCCCTCTGGGGCTGCGGGACTTACTGCACCGTCCGGACCCTCCCCCCCGCACGGAAACAGTCCCGAACAGATGCCCGCCTCTAGCCCTTGCTACAGGGAGACATTCCCACGCAGGCGCTGCCTCGTCGCCTTGGTAACGAGAGACGCTGCGAGGAAGCGGGGGCGGAGCAACAAGCGCTTTCCGCGCGGGCTCTATTGCTATGTCCTGAGAGTTCTAGCGGGCTGTCCCGCACAGGACTACATTACCCAGCATGCAAGGCTACGCTTTGATCCGTGCGAACAACGGCTCAATGCGGAGCATTGTGTGATGGGAAATGTAGTCCAGCAAAGATGGATGCCTATTAAGCCAAAACGTGACTTCACTTTGAGGGGAG